CTGTATCTTATTATAATCTATTTATTCCTCCAAAATAGAAAGCCTATAAACTCAATGAAATAATTGGTCAGGATTATAGCAGTGCCTTATTCAATTCTTGTTTTCCAAAACTATTATATACTGTAGAATACTTTATTTTCGCTTGGAATTTATTTTCGCTATTTTCGCTGAAAGGATGATTCCGTGAAAATAAAATCCAGCGAATATACTTTTTTTTCCTATATTTCACATTAAACTCCTCAAAAACCAGTGAAAATAAATTCCAAGTAAAACGCCCAAAAAGCCTTTTCAGCGAAAATTAATTCCAGCGAAAATAAAGTATTCCACAGTAGTTTCTCTCACAGGGTACATTACATCATGATCATTCAATGCAACATGTGGCCTTTACACTTGATGTGTCATATAATTTGAGGGTGTTAAATGTAATTTTGAAATTGATATTGATTGATAAATAGCAATATTTACTGATGAATATGTTATTGTTTCGAATGTACTAATATGTGTAAGATAGGGATTTACCTCATTTACATTAAGTAGTCTAACTTACTGTGTTTTCTAATTCTTTTATTTATTTATTTTTGTTAATCTTCATGTGAAATACAGGTGGTTGGTTGGATGTTTGTATACCATGTTACAAATGCATGTGCATTGGCAACATATTTGAGATCTCTGTACCTTAGCTTACTTTGTTGTTTCACCTCTGATTTAGTATTTATGTCATTATTTTACTGTGTAACAGCTCGATACATGTTAACTTGGCACTGTAATTGTTATGTAAATAGAAAACATCAATACAGTGTCTGCCCAGACTTAATACATTATATGAAAGGAGTGTTTTTGTTTTAGGTTTTGTGTTTGTAGCAATACACCAAGCTTCATTTTAAGATGATTTTTTTTTTTACATGTGTAAAGAAAGTTTATTTTCCTAATATTGTCATTTTAAATGAAATTTTTGTTTGTTTTGTCCATCCACCTAAACAGATTTGTTTTACTGTTGTAAAGATGTTTGCGATTCAAAGTTATGAACTTGGTAGCATTAGGATATTCCTGAAGTTACGCTTTCAACTTTTTCGGCAGCTGTGACACTTTTTTTTATTACACGTCCTTTGCTTTCATTCTAATTTGTGGCCCAGGGAAGTGTGTATTGACTGTTGTCATTTTTACATTGTTGCTACACAGAGACCATTGGTTTTTGATGATTGATCAAATGTTTGGCGGAATTTTGTAATGTTTGAGACTAAAGCTCATGTATATCATCTGCGAGACATGTACTAGAAATATTACAGCTAGAATGTGGATGTTTGTGCATTTGAATTGAATTGATTTTACTTTCATAAGTTTCCCAAAAACTCTTAAATTAGGTACACATCTAATAAACCTTAATCTGATCATTGCCGAATGAAATTTCAAAAGATTCATCATTTTTTTTACTTTAATGTACAGTATCATATACTTATAATATTATTAAAAAATAAATACTTTTGTTTTTTGGTTCAAAATAGACTAAGATTAGCAATTTTAATTTTACCAGCATGATTTAAAGCAAATTTACCCACCTGTTTTATTTGGTGGTGTGCTGATCTGGAGAGTTGAAATTGTAAAATGCATGATTTTTCATAATTATTTTAGAATTGGAGGTGTTTTAGTGTATAAGAATATGCTTTTAAGGTATTCTATGTCTAATCTTGGTAAAGAGAGGGGGTAGTCTAACTAGATCATTACAGATGATTGATTGCTATGAGAAGCTGTATGTTTTATAGTTTGCAATAAAATACAGATTATTTCTTGTATATATTGATGTTTCAAGTTGTTTGTCGTAGCTTAACTTTTTAAAAGGTTACTTAAGTTTATAAATCTTAATTATTTTTGAATAAGGTGATGTATTGCAATCCACCTGATCTCTTAAGCCTAGTCAAATAAAGAGTATTGTCGATATGACCTGAACAACCTTGTGTGATCAAGATGATCAAGAGTTACTTGCTCCAAACGTCTCTCTGTCATTGCGATAATCAACCAATGACAGAGTTTCAGTGCTTCACACAAAAGATCAACTTGTGACTGTGCCACCTTATGTTTTAAGTATTTGAATTTTTAAGTTTTATAAAAGGTGATAATGGTATGTAACTGCTTTCAGATATCCAGCAACATGTGCCGAGTATCTCACTAAATTCCCCGGAAAGCATGTTCCAGAGAGATGTATATGTGTGTGTTTTGTCTTGAATAACATACAACAGCGTCCGGATTACTTTCGGAAATTTCGTCGCGTTTCGGAAAGTTTTAATTTTCAAAACTTTTGAATATTTATTTGTGCTTTTAGGTTAGTGAGGAGGTTATAATAATTTTTCATTTCACTTTAACTCTGTTTTTTACACCCCTCAGACCCCTTTAAAAAGTCACTTCTGGCCTTGACCGGTATTTTCAAATTTGTAGTTATAATGACCACTATTTTTACACTGGTCAGAATAATAGTATTTTTTTATTTAATGATGGAGTGGGTGACAATCTATTTTTTCAATGGGTATTATA